ACACAGGGTGCCGCAAACTGGCAGAAGGAAAATCTCTCCCTTTTAGTCCCCAGAGCTGCCCCTGGCCTGTCATGTGAGGATAATGGAGAGCCCCCAAGAATAGCCACTGGCTACTTAGACCCCCTGCGGTCTTCAGACACTCCACGACCCCAGTTACCTCTTCAGTCGAGGTGTTCAGAACCTGATGGTTGAATCTGGCCCCGTCTCCAGCGGCCTGCCCCATGACCCTGGGCGCTCCCTAGGTTAACTCAGACAAGCAAACGCTGCCCTTACCTCGAGGTCAGGGCCTGCCCGTGGCCTGGCGGGTCTGAGGAGGACAGGCGGGTAGGGTCCTGCGCATAGGGCTCACGGGCACCGGCTGCTCATCTCAAGGCACAACAGGACGGTCTGGTCCCGGCCAGTCCCCAGAACCAATGGTCACCAACTGTGGAGACTGAGAGAGGAGCGGCAAGTCAGGAGGGAGTGGAGCAACGAGTCTCTTGCCCACCTCGGAAGGGACATTGGGACTGGATGCACGGGGGTCTTGGTCCAGGAAGACCCTGGTCCAAGGGACGCTGACACAAGGGATGCTGTGTCCACATCACTGCACAGCAGCTGGAGAGACAGGGGTTGCTCTCATACACACAGCGGATTGACACCCAGAGGCTGTGATGCGGTGAACTGTGTCCCCCTAGAAACGAATAGAAACCCCACACCCTGAGAACGTGGCCTTGTCTGAGCGAGTCTCTGGAGATGCCGTGAGTCAGGGTAGGAAGAGTGGGTACAGGCCCCGCCAGACAGTGGTCCCCATAAAGAGAGCCTGGGAGAGTGGGGGCAGGCCATTGGACAATCTAGTGTGGCTGCAGCTGTCCACTAAGGAACGCCAGAGGCCACCGGACACCGAGAAAGACCAGGCAAGCCAAGAGAGAGGAGGTGCAGCTGCCGACACTGGCTCTGGGCTTCTCCGGCCGGCAGAGAGACGAGACCAGGCTCCTGCTCCTTATGGACAGACAGAGGCCTGTGGTGGCAAAGGGTTTGGCCAAGGTGGTGGGCCCAGCCCCACCTGTACCTGGAGGGGTGGCTGTGGGTGCTCCTGCACCCACTCCAGTCCCAGTCTCCCCCAGGATCCCAGGGCGGCCTGGGAGGTGAAAGGAATTTGTGGGCGGGAGGAAGCATGTGCGAGCACGTGTGTGAGTGCGCACATAGATAAGTGAGTGGCATGTAATTACCTAAAATTGTGGGTCATAAGCAGATGTAAATAACCAAAAACTATGTGGGGAAGTGGAGGGGATGTTCATCAATTAGAGCTAATTACTTAACAGCTAATTGAAATAATAATGGCTGTATTTGAATATGCTAATGAGGCCGAACCTGCCTTGGAAACAGTAATTGGAATAAAAATAGAGAAACTGGGGAACTGTGGGAAAGAAGGGCTGAGGGGGCGCCTCCCCCACCCCTGGGCCAGGGCCCCTGCCCAGAGCGCCCTCAAGTACCCTGCTTCCCTCGGCTTTCCTCCAATTTGTTTCTCTGTGCCCCCTGCTGCCTCCTCCGGCCTTCCAGAGCCAAGCTGCCCCCTCGGAGGGATGACCCTGCTGGAGCCCCCTGCCTGCTGTCCAGGGTGGACACTAGGACCCAGGACATTGTCAGGAGCCTCATGTCCAGTGAAGCCCAGGAGGGCCAGGATGCAGTCCACCCAGCCCAGCTGTGCTTCGGGGCCCTCATGCACACTGGGAGTGGCACAGAGGCTGGACAGCACAGACCACAGTGGGCAGCACCAGGTCAGGGGGCTCGGGGGATGAGGCCCACGTGTGAGCTTTCAGACAAAGCTGGCCAAGCCAGAGCCACCAGCCTCCTGTCCTGTGTGCCTAGGGTAGCGGGGGATGACGGGTTGGGCGGGGCAGCTGCCCCCTACCGGTTCTAAGGGGCTCTGTGCCCCTGCCTGAGACAGACCTGCCTGGAGGAGGTCCACTTTCCACGAGTGTCACATGCACTCACGCCCACCTGCACATGCTCGTGAGTGCACATGTGTGTGCACACATCTACACGTGTGCCTGTGCACTACACACACCTCATAACGCGCGAGCATGGTCACAAACATGCATACACACACAAACACACACACGCTCGTGCACACATGTGCACTGCACACGGCTGTGTGCTCCCATGCATGCACACATGCACCCGCACATGTGCATGCACACACACCCATGTGCAACCCCTCGACCCCTCCCTGTGTGAGCCTCTGCCCCACAGGGACACGCACGTCCTCACTGTCTAGGGGCTCACAGGTCATGACGTGGAGGGCACAGCTAGTGACGTCACACACAACTGCTTGCCTGGTTTCAGAACTTCCCACCCGCCTGGCAGCAGCTCCTCGTCCCCTGTGCCCCGTCCCCTGTGCCCCCGGCCCCCATCCAGCTCTGCTTGCTCTCGGGGGTCCAGACAAGCCGGTGGTCACATTTGTCCCTGTGTCTGCCCGCCTGCAAGCAGACGTCAGGCTGCACCCTCTGCAGCCAAGCAGGGCCCTGGCGCCCGGCCACGCTGTGTGCATCCAGCCAGTGACGGCCATCGGTGGTGCCACACCCGGGGACTGTGAACCATGCTACAGTGACCGCCAGGACACGTTGTGTGTGGCTGTGTTCAGGGCCGGCAGGCACTATGACCACTCGGCTGACCTGAGCAGTCTTACCAGGTGCCCCCCTCCTGCCCCCTCCTGTTTCACTGAGCGCAGCATCTGATTGTAACATGGGCTCAGCCGTCCAAATACACCTGCCCTCTCCCCAAACGGCCCAAGTCAGGACTACGGCTGGCCTGGTTGTGGGACTGCCCGCCTGTCTGCTCAGGTTGGTTCTCAGACACAGAAGAGACCAGCCAGGCTGGCAGGAGGCCCTTGGGGCTGGCTCATGGTGGGCACTCCCGCGGCTGCTGGAGCCTCGTGTGCCCATCTCTATAATGGGGCGTGGCAGGTGCTTGGTCCCTGACGGATTCCAGGTGGGAATCGAGGCTCACAATATCAGGAGGGGGTGCCCGGCTGGCCTGCAGCTGCTCCCTTGGCACCCCTGGGTGTGGGGTGCACCCCAAACCTTCCTCCTGCTTCCAGGAAGAGGGAAGTTCATCCACTTGCAAATATCGGGGTGATGGGTGACCGATGCGGGGGGGAAGAAAGCGGCCCAAGCTTGACCTCTGCATTTCAAACACTGACACCAGCAAGACAGAGCACAGTCCTTACGTCATCTGCACAGAGTGTGCATGACTGTTGGGGGTGGGGGGGTCTGCTGATGCCAGCAGTCCTGTTCCTGGGCCACACAGCTGCGCCGGCAGAAGCCCAGGCGGTGGGGACACGGTGGCAGGAGGAGACCCCGCTCTGGCTCAGTGCAGACCCACTTCCCACAGAGACCTGGCCTGCCAACCTCAAAGCAGGTGACCTGTCTGTGTCACGGCACCTTAGAACCTGCATGGGGGTCCCCACTCCTCCACACCCACTCCATTCACATCACTGCCTGCCTTCTGACCACCACCCACCTGCTGGTCCCTTTTCCCAGCTTTGTGCCTGGAAAACTCCCTTGCTGCCCCCCCCCCACACACACACACGGTATCCCTCCCTGGCCCCTTGCCTCCCAAGACCCCAGCAGACCCTGCACAGCCAACCCTGGTCCTTGGATCCCCAGGGCTGCACTGGCCCCATCCACGGGACATGCAAACCCTCATTGCCTGCATTGGGTGAGGGGTCCTGTGGGTGCTGGGCAGGCTCGGAGCTGCTCACCTGGATGCTGCCATCAGGGTAAGCCCAGCAGGCCCCAGCCTCCTTCCCTCTGCCCTCCATCTCCCTCCCCTGTGCAGCCTGGGGGGCCAACACAGGGCGCTTGCCCGATGCCAACACGCCCACCTCCCAAGGCCCTAGGGTGCCTGTTGCGGTGGGGTCAGGGCGAGCAGAGAGTGGGGGCTCGTCCCATGCCCCTGGTCTGGTCTGGCTGTGGCTGTGCAGGGCCTCCAGGCAGACCCTTCCCACCCAGTCCTGGCCCACCTGATTGGTCCTGGAGCAATGGGGAGGGGCCATTAACCACCCCAGGCACTTGTAAGCCCGGTTCCCCCAGGCCCCAGGGTTGGGCCTGAGCCAGGTAGGGGTGG